GATGCCCACTATAATCTCCCCACATCTCCTGGTTCTCACAAAGAGGAAACTAAACTTAGCAATCCAGTTTTGTGGGAAGGAACTAGGGCAAGGAGTGGAGTATCAACTAAAGGACAAAGGTCAACTTTAGAAAGCTGTTCTACCAGATCTTGCTCAGAAAACTATTCAGGTATTCAAAGGCTGAGAATAAAAGGAGATAAGTGGAATTAGCAGAATGCAAAAAATTAAAAAGTCTAATTAAAAAAAAATATCTAGGGGGCAAAGAAAAGAAAGAATAAAGTCAAACTTCCTGTATTTCTTTTTAGCGTAACTCAGGATTCACATCCCATCCTCCATGTCTGATTCCTATTTAAAAATGCAAAGAATAAAATTCATTTTTGAGATGATCTCATGTCTCAGATTTTTGAAGATTTTGCCCCTTTATTAATCTCCCCCTCCCCTTTATTAGGACTTGTATCCTAAACAAATAACTAAGTAAAAAGAAATACATCTGTTTATTTTGATGTAGACTAAAGCTATAAAGCCAATCCATTATCTTTCTTTTCTTTGTAAAACTCCTTGTTTTGAAAAAGGAGATAGTTTGGTCACAGGAAGAAATTCTAATCCATGATTCTGTGAAAAAAAGGAAATATAAGAATTCTTGACCTAATTCAATCTTCTGCCACCTACAAGGTATCCAGTTCTTACAGCATACTTTACAAAAGAAGATTGTGTTTTCAAAGCAAAATGGGATTTAAAAAAATATATACCTTGATGTTTGGAATGTACTATGGAAAGGCAAACAGGATGTTTCCCAACCTGAAAGCATACTTAACTGAAAGGTTTACCTTTTTAAATGCCCAGTTCATGGCAAATTTGAGCTACAGTCTATTAAACCAAGGTGTGAAACTCTTAATGAGTAAGGAAAACTGTCCTGTTGTTGTGTATTTCTGACATTATACATCTGAGTTTTAAGGCCTATAATGTTTGGACATCAATTGCAAAATTGTAAATGTTGTCTCTTATATCTTTAAACTTACAACCTTTTTAAAGTGACCTTATCAATATGGAAAAGCCTAAAGATTGTGTGTATTTCATGGATATATTTTATCTTAATCTATCTTGTGGTTGTTGGAGAATATATTTTTTACCGTATATTCAAATTGGAATTTTGTCATTCTCTTTTTTATTTTTCTCCCAAAATACTGTTTCTTCTTATGTTCAAGCTATAATATATATTTATGCATTCATAGGTAAATATAGATATATATCAACACACACATAGGAGCTTAAAGTAAGTATTTTACTGATGCTTTTTGAAATGACAGTGTTTTAAGAAGGGACGATAGTCATGTAAGTTCACATGAAATCTTTTTGGTCTTTTTTTGGTTCAGTGTTTAGAAAATTCTTGATAATTTAGAATCTTCCACAATGGAAAGTAAAGCATTCTGTCACAAAAGCAGGGAGGATGAGACACAAGGTCAAAGGGCATTTTAGAAACAAACAGCTGGACCAGTTTATTTAAACAGATACAGGGATGGAGGAACTGACCTCTGTTTGACTTATAGTGGGAGGAGCAAGAATGTCATTTTATTACTTTGCCCAGAAGGAAAATGTTTTTGTATCTGAATTCACCCCGAAGCCATCTAAACACATGGCTCTGCTGCATACAGCATAATTCCAAAGACAGTACATATAAGAGAGTGTAGGACAATGATAAAATACACTAAAGAGAATCAAATATTGAGATAGTTTTAAGATCAAAGAGATGATTTTTAAAAAATAAAATATTTTACTATTAGTTATTTTTAGATAAAGATGTCCACCATGACACCATATAATATGTGTTTCATGTAAGTATAGGAATTGTAATTCAGGAACATTCTGGGAGTTTACTGTATCCTATATGAGTTGATAATGTTCATTATATTGAAAAAAAATTGTTTTAACGTTTTCAAAAGTGACAAGTTCCAAGTATATCTGTTAATGTGGTCCCATAGTTCAGACAAAGTGATTAGGTATTCTTAGGTTTTCAATATATTTTTTTTTATTTAATAAAAAGAGCCCCACCTTCTTACCTACATAGCCTATAGGTAGCCTAGATCTGGTTGTTAATAACAACAAATGGTTATTGCCACCAAAAGACAGGCAAATAGCAGCTAGGACCTGTGGGCCCTTGGCTGAGGCTGTGGTGAGGTGTTTGCTCGCTGTGGGGGGACCAGAGCCGGGCTGGAATAACTGCATTGAGTGTTGTCCGCTGAAGACTTTCAGAGGCACACAGACAAACCTCAGCGTACTGAGCAGACAGTGGCCCAAGTGTGAGTGGACTCAAAATCCTAGCAAAACTAACATTCTAGAAGGAACATCAGAATCACAAATGTTTAACCCAGGGAGAAGAGGGGAGAAGCCAATGGGGTGATGGCTATAGTTTAAATATTTGAAAGGCAATCCTGAAGAAGTGAGATTAGAATGGTTTTCCCCAAAGAGTTGTCCTGGTGAAAGCATTTTAGATCGAATGCTTCTAACAGTTGCCTTGTCCATAGAATGAATGGACTCTCAGGTAAGGTGGCGAGTGCTGTGTCACACACAGCACAGCAGAAGCTACCCATCTACTTGGTGGGGATGTCAGAGAGGGGATTCAGGTGAGTGACCAAGCTAGGGGACGGTGAAAACCCTCTCCAAACCTGAGATGTAATTTTCCCATGATTCCATGGGTTTAATAGTCATGGATTCAAACCCGAGGTGGTTATTATGAACTGGTCTTTGGAAATCTGAGTGTATGAGTGTGAAGGAGGCAAGTGTTGGAATATATAGATAACTCAAGTCACTGACTCTTCTTATGCACACCTTGTCTTGTCTATACACACAGGCAGTACAGTCATCAAAATGCCAGTCTATACAATGTTCAGTCATGCTTATTCCCAGAATCAACAGCAGAGTTGTTGCCAGTGGTGATTGGCTCAAAACCAGCTCATTTAAAAATACCTGTGCAGTTCGGAATATTCTAGATGGGTGGCACAGTAGCAGCCATGCTCTTGTTAGGATGTGGGGAGGGAGGTGCTGGCTATCGTTTGCCAGCTGTGTGTCATTCAGCAAATGTTAACATCTCTGGGGTAACAGGTGACCTCAAATAAGTCGCTTAATTTCTCTGAGCCGTGGCTTCTCATCTCATCTTAAAACAACAACAACAACAACAACAACACTCTTCCTATGTTTAGATCAACAGTATAAATCATATCCATAAAATATTGTTTTTAAAAGGACTTAAAAAAAGACTTATCAGACAGAGTTCCTTCTGTCTAAGAGCCTGCTATGAATAGATAAAGAACTGTTGTTGCTGTCTTACCTATGTTAGTTACTATGAAAATTACTTTTGGTATATGCAGAATATTAATATTAAATAATTTTCTAATTGGTCACGCAGTGAAGGCAGCTAATGAAAAAGCAGGGGTTTTTTTCATTTTAATTGGTTATTTCACATGGTGTTTGTGCTACACCTGTGCTTATAATGAGAATGGAGAATTAATCTAACCTTCTGCTCACATGAGTCCAATTTTCATGGTTTATACAAGATAATGATAACCTGATTTGCAACACAATTTGTTGTAGATCTATGTTTTAAAGATTTTTATTAGCAGTTCAGGGGCTACATATACAAGCACTGATATAATAAGTATTGCCAATAAGAGCACCGACGTGTCCTTTTAGTCAGATTCCAGTTTCATTATTTATTTTAATTACTTCTCAGATAATGAAAAAACATGAGGTTACAAGATACTGAGAATCTTAAAATGTCAGGAAGTATATGCATTTTTATTTTAAAAACCTGTCCCTCTCTGTTTAGTGGTTTGGTTTGGGGGAACTATCAATAGTTTCCTACCTGAAGTAGGCAGACTTACAAACTAGAATTCATACTGGACTGTGGATCCTTTAATTATTAATAGTGCATTATTAAACTTTTCATTGTATTTTTTATGTGCCGCTCATGTTCAATATATTCAAATCTGAGTTGAGAACTAAAAGCAATTTACTATTTCAGAATCTAATATGTCCTGTTCATTTTCTGTATTTCATATGTAATTCTTAGTATTACGCAACCCAAACAGATCTTGAGTTGGAAATTTCATGAGCATGACTTTGGAGAGCTTGTATTAACCACATTTAAAAAAAATTTTTTTTCAGTGGCTAGCCATTTTTTGAGGTGCTACCAACATTATATATATATAAAAAATAATCTTAGGACACTTAAGTGATTTAAATGTCTTAATAAGATGTTTGTTATAAATTTCCAGAACTAGCTGGAGAAATTGAGATTATAAGTTCAATTACTGTATAGCTGTGACCTCGCCTTGACCTCAGACTTTGCATATAGAGCAAAAAAAAAAAAAAAAGCAACCACCCCAAGAAATCTCTACAAGGAATGCATTTCTCTGAAGTCCCCAGCAGTGTGAGTTAGTGGTGATAAACTCCAGACATTCTCTCATTTGATGGTGTGCTGCCATCCGAGTTCATTATCTTAATAGTGGGCATTAAAATAGAATTAGGTTTGCAAGAGGTAGGGAAGGTTTTGATAAAAAAAAATTGTAAAAAAAGAAGTGGGAGAACATAAGATTGAAATGTCACTAATTAGGAGAGGTAACAGATGCCCTTATGAACGAACATCTCGTTCTCTCCACCAAATTTCACTCCTTGCGATTGAACAGAGTGGTGGCTAGTATTGCTTCCTGAAAACTCTGCTAATTCCCCCATGAAAAGATAAAATGGAAGTGTCCAACTGTGGTAAAACAGGCAAACATAAATCAACTCAGAAACCCCAAGCCTGTGCACTCAGAGGTCACTGGGGGTTACAGGTTTTGCAGCATGTGAAACTGCACACGGAGCAGGGGAGACAACCATTTTGCCAAGAGCCAGCTTGGCTCGCACTGTGATTCATCTTTGCTCTTCCTCCACCTCCCCCCGCCCCACCACTTTTTGGGTTTTGTTTTAAGGAATCATGATGTGCTTTACTCTCTTGGTTACAG